TTAATGTTTTTGTAGCAGCAAAGTAATAGTTCCAATTTATCTAAAGAGAGACTTTTCAGCTGATATCACATTTTTTCGGTCTTTCTCTGCCGACGTTCCGCTGCCCATGATCTTGACCACCTAATGATCAATATGCCCAACTCGTTTGCTCCGTTGGTTTCATTGACATCAAAATTTGCTCGCATCTCGGCTCAGACAACTCGTTTGTGCACACAAGGTTAATAGTTGAAACTGTTAGGCGATCGCCCTGGCTCTCGGCTTGCCGGCTACGTCAGTTGGTTTGATGCGGAACTGATTAACATAATACGCGGAAGTTCGTGGTGGATGATTAAGCAAATTTGTTTGTTTATATTTTTGTTACTTTTTCGTTCGTTTTTTAATGCATTGAGAGACTTGAGCTACTAATCTCGATTCAAGAAGGAAGTATTTGGTGAAAGAACGTATTTTATTATTTAAGCAACATAGAATTAACAAAACCGTGTCAATGGAAGCGTTATATCTTTCTCTGCCGTAAGTGTTTTGTTCTGCTGCTCAACCCTATGATTCTCTTAGTGCCACTTGAACCACCATCCGAAGACTTGGCTTACGACGCCGCCTTACAGCTTGGCTTACTAAACTATCGTCTTAATCTACTAAGCCACGAGGAAGAATCCAGGCAACTTAGTTTGCCAAACATAACCCTAGGTAATCTCGTGAACCGCATACCCTGTAGCTGTGATACTGGACTATGCAAATGTTGTGCTGGTAAGTTTTAATCATTTGCCTCTATAAAATTGTAAACGTCCGATATTCACTTGTCCGTTTTCAGGCTTTCTTTCCGTAATTGGCATGAACAGTTGCACAGAAGTTGCGTATCGACCTGATGAATTTTCCTTTGAGTTGCGCATGCGCGTCAACAACAATATTTGGTTCCGTCAAAAGGTCTCCGGGCAGAATCCTCCTCCATTCTGCTTCCGGCCGCCACGCTTTAACTTTGCTAAGGCCTGTATTCAGTTTCATGACATTTGGTTTGTCGGACGCAACATGCACGTCTGCATGTACATGTCAGGCGAATTCCAGGGCTTCGAGTTGTTCGAAAGGTAAGATCTCCGCCGTGAGGATCAATCGGAAACATCGGATCATTTAGGAAACATCTCCTCGATTTCAGAAACTTTGATTGCCTCTTGTTTGGTGATCACGGAGTTAAGATCGTTCCCCCCGAGCAAGGCTATCCGGTGAGACCGAACGATGTTGACATTGATGATGGAGACGACGAGATCGAGGACTACGATGAGAATGTAGTCCGCAGTTTAGCAGAAAAGATGGTCGGCTAATCATTTATTTATTTAAAAATATAACGCTCAACTCACTGATAAAGTAACTTAAACAAAACTTTCTATAATATAATGGGTTATAACGATGCGACTGTCGGCCAATTACTTGAGCGAGAAATTCCACCAGTGGCGATGCCTTTCCAAAGTTCAAGTGCGAAAACTGCAAAATGACGTGCTCTGCATCCCTTCTGCCCTGATCTCCCCCGTCCAGTGGCACTTGCAGCAGCCCATTGAAACACAAAGTAAAAGGGGAAATCAACACAACCAACAATTTGTAAAGGATAATGCAACCTTAGGCTGCATCTGCGCCGCATGTGCAACACCTCGGTGTGCGAGGAGGGGCAGGGCGCTCTAAGCATTGAAATGCATATGCACAAGCACGTTGACTGTTGCACTTCGTTTGACTCGCAGTTGACTGTAATAAAGGACTTTTAGGCTGCAAGGATGCAGCCCGTAATGGTAGCTGCAGCCACAGGACAACCGACAGCCCGTGCCAAGAGGGGGGGTAGAGTATTATTTCGCACTTGACTGCTCTGAATGCCAGTCGAGCTTCAGTCAAGTGCTGTGCAATAAAAGCGTATTTTCACGGCACATGGAAATATGGGCTGGGCTGATGCATTCAAATGTTATGCAAATAAAAGGCCATGCAGGAGGGACAGACCCCGTAACATTGCATCTCAAGTACTTAAGTACAATATTAGCACTCTTTATTACTGGCGTTTTAATTAAGTTCAACCGGACATTTTGTTGAACATCTCTTAAATTGTAGGTTTGAACAGTAGTTTAAAATCCAATTAAATAACAATAAAATAACCCCCGGTCAATGCATAAAAGGTGTGAACCATAAGCTGACCATCCAGTCCCTCCAACAGCATAAGCCTAATTTAAAATGCAAATGTGAGTGAGTGGTTATAAAGTTCATTTAGCGCTTGTAATTGATTTGTTTACACATCGGACACGCGACACTCACACATGAAACTGACCATCCTACTGACCAGCCCCTGTCAGGCCATTCAGCATAAACAGATACGGACACTGACCCACAGGGGAAGCTCGAAGCGTGGAGAGGGGCGAACCGGCTGGCAGGACGACCCTCTTTGTTCACTGTTGGTTGTCCGTTACCCAGCGCAACAGGTATGGACTCAAATCGCTTAGGGCATTGGTCAGTTGATGCGATTTTCCACGATACCGCCTTTTCCTCGGTGTTTGTCCATTCCCTGGGGTCAATTATGTTATTTCCGGTTTCATGTGGTCAACAGGGGATAAATATTTATATCACGGTCAAGTGGTTAAGTCCGTGGCAAAATTACCCCAGGCAGTAAACCGGATTGAATGTTATTCTTCGGCTTGAACAGATTATGCAATAAAAATAGGTACAGGATGGTAATTGAAAAGATTACGTTTCCAGGCGGTTTTAATCAGTGTGGATGAAATTGCAGTATGTTTGCTCAATATTAAGACACGTATGCCAGTCTCTGCAGAAACATTTATTTTCTTTAAGTTAAATCCCAGACTGTTCTTCTTTCCACGACAAAAATAAAAAATTTAAAGCAGAAAAACTACCCCCAAAAGTAATTAAAACTCTCGGTCCTTTGGCCCAGACGAAGACGGTGTCTACCTCCACCTATAAACGAATGTTAATCAAAGCAGAATATAGAAAAATTCAAAAAGTCCGTATGGACAGAGACGCTGTCCTTGGGGTTTAATTTCTCTTACATTTTTATATTTTGCTTAAAGCAAATTTGGGAGTGAAATTAGAGGACTTGGGTTCCTGAAGGATGATGTGGAACATCATCACCAACAGCATTCCTTTTTAATATTCTGATTATCGAAACTTGGCATTTTGGACCAAAAAGTTGCTGTATAATAACTTTCCTTCCTGTAATATTTTAATTTAAAAATTTATATTGCAACGATATGTTTTATCGATATTGGTTTTATCAAGCCTTAAATTTTTACGTTTGAATGTTTTAGAGACGCTTTTTTTAATTTAATGCATAATCAATATCAACACACACATACTCATTCGCGGTAGTTATAGGCAAGTTTATTTAGTTACAAAAAATTGTATATTTTCATCAAGTCTTTTCCCGCGAACCGCTAAAGAGAGATACGCATAATAAAATCAAAAGGACACGCACACAACCATCACACAAAACCAATACAAATGCATTGAACACACATAGACACGAAGTCCTGTACATAAACGCGATTTTCATGCGTGATGAGCGGGATATTTCCCCTTTTTTGGCTGTACATAAAGCTACTACATAAGTAACGAAGCAGAGGCTTCCAATTTTCGGGGTGGTAATGCTTCCAAAGGGTTAAAATCTGTGCCTTCGAAAGGCAAAAACATGCGTGAGCTGTTGGTGTATGTGTGTATTTGTGAAAACGGCGTTGCCAGCCTTTCAGAGGAATTACTTAGGAAGCCAAAGAAGAAGACTAAACAAAGTCATTTACATAACTAACGAAGTGGGTGAACAAAGGACCGGGGGAAAGCGAACAAATCGCGGATGGGGAAGGGTGTTATAGGAAAACGAAAGAACGTGGGGGGGCATAGCGCGTGCTGGCCGTGGCCAAAAATGAAAATGGGCACAAAAGCGCATCATTAATTTTTCAGTTTACATCTCACATAGGGATTCTTAAAACACATTAAAGACCAAAGGGCTTTCCAGCACAAGCATCTATTTATTTTTCACCGCTTCCTAGCTTGCTGAATTATACAATCAGTTATAAAAATATTTTTCAGAAATTGATACACACTTCATACAGTAAATACTGTTGATTTGCAACCAATTTCAAATAATGTTCATATATTTAATTTACAAATAACCAATTGTATTTTAAACAGCCTAAACACAGGCCTAAACGTCAAGTCCACTGAAAAAGATTTGTATTAGCGAGCCAATATTTTCAAAAGTTTTCTGCAAGTTACAGGATACACAGTTAAAATTTCACGAAAAAAATGTAAAACAAGGAAGAACGCTATAGTCGAGTACCTCGACTATCAAGTACCCCTTACTCAGCTAATGGGACCAAAGGGAAATGGAGATAGCAAAGCGAGGTTGAAATGCGCCACCTACCGGCGGTAGACAGATTTAAGCGTTATGGGCGTTAGAGTGGGCTTGGCAATTTTTTTTTGGATCAATCGATAGGTATTGACGAGTTTTTTTTTTATTCTAGCATCAAAACTGTAGGAGCCACAGTTTTGGTCGATTTGTGGGCATTAGAGTGGGCGTGGCACTCTGCTGAAACAAACTTGCGCTGCGCAGGAATCCTCGGAATCTGCATGCCTAATCCCAACATTGTAGATTTTACAGTTTGGTCGAATAAATTCTCTCCGTTGATAATATTTTGTCAAATATTAACAGATATTTTCTATCTTTCGTTTATATAGAAAAAATCAAACAATTTTTTAAGATTCTATATATTTAAATATTCCTCGTAAGGTTAATTTAACATTTTTATAGATCATTATTTTTTCTATAAATATCGTCTCGCTTATAGTTTCAAAGCAAGTTGGTAATTGTAGACTCGTGTCGAATAGATCATTACTGAAACAAATATTTTAAGAAAGGTAATTCTTAGGATGTAATACAATAATGAAATGCATTTAAAATATTTGCTGGGTTAATGATATTTTTAAATAATTCAAATAAAATACTTTTAATATTATACAACCTGACCACAGTGCAAACAAAAAATAACGGCGTAGACCCAATCAGAAGTATACATGACGATAGCCATATCCAAAAGAAAACTCGGCATTAGGTGGGACTGCGGTAAACCTTCTGTTGATAGCGATGGGAACATCCGATCTAGCAGCTCCTCCAAATCCATCGGAAATGGTTCGCATTAATTGATCGATAGAGCCAAGTGCCCTAGTCGTCACAGCAAAAGCAATCATTAGGACCTATAAGGTAGGAATAGATTAATGATGTGCCAGTCAATAATTACCATATACATACCAAAAGACGAATCATAGTAGAGCCTAAAGTCAACTGTCTAACTAAAAATAATTCCGCAGATAAAAGAAAATATATTTCTGTTGAGGTTTATATAGAAAGCTCTTTAACATTTAAATGCAGATTAGAAATATGTTAATACAAGTTGCTCAACTTTTACTATTACAAGGTTAACTTCATTAGAGTGTGCTTCAAAATGCGCGCCGAGTCGATCTAGATACTAGCAGAATCTGAATTTTAGCTGTGTAGCTTAAAATATAGGTGGGCGGTAGAGCGACTGTTGTGGGCACTTAGCTGAATCAGAAGCTCAGAAATAAATAAATAAATAAATCTTGATCAAGAATATATAACTTAAACGGTCGGAAGCTACGCTGCGAGTAACAGGTAAAAAGTTTACTGTTTCTTTTGAAAAAACTCAAAAATATCATACTAAGACATAAAATAAAATTGCGTCGGTTAAAATTGTATGTATATAGTTAGGTCTACGTAAACGCTCAGAACATAGTTTAAGAGAAATATATATATATATTATTTATTGCATATTTCCAAAAGGCTTTACAATTTTACTAAATATTTACCCCAACTTACCAACGCCTTCGTTAATAAATCGATAATATTCCGATTTTGGACAGCAGTCCACGTAGTGACGAAGCGCACCGGAAAAGTGTGCGGAGCCGACTACTATATATAACCACAGAATAAATAATCTACAGTGGTGGTGCGATCATATAGCGATAAATGTCATAAAATAAACAAATGTTATAAGCCTAGTTTTTTCTTACCAAAAATACCAGGAATCTAATAATCCTGAGCCCATTTATATTGTATTATATTGAAACGTTTTTTTCCTATTTTTAAGGGATATTACAATTACAAAGCTTGTCCAAGATAAATGGAAATTTAGCCACGACACTTGTCGTTTCTTAATACTAAACGATTAAGACTACGAGCTCAGCCGCCAGATTCGTTTTTCCGTTGCACAAGTCGATTTCTCGATATTATCCCAGCACGCCTAAGAAAGCCCTTGCCTAGTTAATCCAAATGGCGTGAAAACTCCAAAAGGGTACAATGAACGTCTACTAAGGAATTCAGTTTCAAAAAGACCATTTTGACCAAATACTACCGTGCCAAAAAGTCCGCCGTTTCCGCGGCCTCCGCTTGAGAAGTCTAGTTTTTATAGTGGTTGTACATGGTAATTATAATATAAATAAGAAATTCAGGCAGCAGACCAGGTGTAAGTTATTTTACCGTTGGAAATTGTAAAAATAGGTCGTAATAAATAAATATTTTATTGCACATACTCGTTCGTTATTAATATTAAGCTACTTAAATCTCTTTATGTGGACAATAGATCCCGCAAAAGCTCAAGCTTTAAATTAAATAACAATGTTCTCATCATAGATTTTGGTCTGAAAACTCTCCACCAACTGAATCCTTGAGGAGACACTGGAACATTAATAAATCAAATGTTCTAAAAATACGTAAGAAACTCATGTTAAAATATTTGAGTCCGCCTTTAATTTAATCTTCAGTTCCCACGCAAAAAATGTTCCTTGGTCTCAACCAAAAGTGTCAAGTTTGTTTTAAGATAATATTTACAAGCACCTTGGCACTTTAAAGGATGCTTCACAGCATACAACAACCGAACGAAAAGAAAAACTTAAAACCAAATCGAAGTGAACGAAGGTAAATAGACGGTTTGCTTTTTAACTGGGTGGTGAGTTTTTGGTTTGCTTTTCTAAGGATTTTTATTTTCGAAAAGAATAGGAGGGTGGATAGACCTTCAAGATGCAAAATACGAGCTCAAAGAAGTGACACACAAAGTTTAGAGTTGAAGTATTTGAATACTTCGCCATACAAAAACCATTCCCATCGTACTACCCCCCTGTTGATAAGCGCGAACACCTTTCAATAAGAGCACAGCCGCTGAATATTTAAAACTGCATTCATTCGAATGTGTTTTTATTGACGCACCCTCGAGGCTGCCCGGATGTGTTGTCCTTTGGGTTTTTCATTCCAATATCCGCCGGTGATAAGTTGAATTATTGAGAAGAGTCTGTGGCGGCGACAAAAAGGGCCTTGGTCGATGTCCAGCCAACGGTGTTTTCGATGTTCTTCTCCGTTGTCGGAACTTCCCCATCTCTGGCTTTCTGTCGGCCCTTGATTCGATTTTGGTCCTTGGGGTTGCTATGCCGCCCGCATCAAAGGAAGACGTGATATATTTTATCTGATAATATTTTTTACTCAATGTAGATTTTTATTGGCTTTAATTTATGCTGATTGACAAGTTAATGTTAGTTTTTTTCTTTATTGACGCCGTTTAAACACTCGCGATGTGCTATATATATAGAGCATTTGGTTGATTTATGAAAGTCATAACGGAGTGCCTGAGAAATCGTTTAGCGCTGAATTCACGGAGAAATTATATTGATGTAGTGAAACTTGTACACATAAAAAAAGTTATGGATAAAATAGAAAAACGGTTAACATCTATTTAAAATAGACATGTGTGATTTCTTGTTGTATTGGTTACTATTAAATAGAAAAACAAGAGATCGATATAGTCGACGGCCTCGACTGTCAGATACCCGTTACTCAGCTAAGGCGATTGCAAGGGCGATGGAGATAGCGTGCCACCCTGCTGGAAATAAACTTGCGCTGTGCAATAAGCTCTAGAATCTGCATTCTAAATCCCAACATTCTAGCTTTTATAGTTTTTATGATAGGAATAGGAACTTGTATGTCCTTCGTTGTTGTGTGATTAACTATTTCATTGGTCAAATTGGCAATTCGATGGGTTGAGCCCACTTAACTGCAATGTTGGTGAATTTGACCCAATAGTTTTTTTGTGTGTACTTGTCCTCTTTAAGTATATCTAATAACTAGTGGTATTTCCATTTAAAGAAGTTCATAAACTCTTTCTAGCCGACTAATTGAAACCGACCCAACAGTTGGCCACACAAATATACCATAAATGTCAACCCATTAGACCATCCACTGACGATGGCCAAAGTGCGAGAATGCGTGTCGTATGTAAATTACTACAAATGGAGAAATGGGATTTTGGCAAAAGATCCAAACATGCAAAGGACATCAAAAGGGCGCACGCAATAGTTCGAGTTCGGGTCTTCAAGTGCTAATAAACTACATGCACATTCCAAATGCGCGTTATTAATTTATGGGGGCTAATAGTCGACAAGATAGACATCACATGCAGGGAATCCATATCCTGCCGGTCTAGCTATCTGAATATTTATCAATCGTAACTTCTGTTTGAAGGACTGTAAGGGTGTCACTACCCGCTGGGGCTGTTTCATCGTCAACCCTTTGTCCCTTGTATCACGCGAAAATGTATGGGCATATTTTATTGTCCTGTCCGTCGACCACTGAGTAGTCCACACCCACGAGCACATTGACAATATCACTTCTTGGAAATATATGTGTTCGACCCTGATTATCGGGACAGGCGATACTATTTATATAATTAAGGAAAACATTTTACTAGTTTCCCAAGCCAATTTCTTTTCTTGTTTGCATACCAGCAAGCACACATACAAAATGTCCTTTTATTGTCTCTGAAATTTAATTAACAAAAGGGTCAATTGTCGCGTGTAAGCGGGGTCCTTCTACACAACGTCGCCTAACTTCCCTTTGTGACCAAATAATATTTTTGATTAATTTATGAATTTTCGTGTGAAAATATTTGCTTTCTGTATTTGTTTATATCCTCATGGATCTGCATTGCGTGTCCCTCATAAAAGTTCAAGTTTAATGAGAGAACATTTCAGTAATTACTTTGAATATTTTTAATCGTTTGAAGGTTTTCAATAAAGATCTAAAGAGGGTTGTGAAATAGTTAGATAATTAAATCTTAACTTGTATTTTGGCGACAGTTATCCTAGCAAGAACATGTTTTATTTAAATGGCCTACATTTATTTTAAGATCGCATTATAGTATCGCATTTACCGAGCAACCGTTACTTTAACAAACTATTATCAAAATCAAATTATAACCAAAATCAAATAAATCCTTTGCACACTGTGCTTCCCCTTGGAAGTAAAATCGTCGCCTTCAAGGAAAGGTGACAAAAGTTTCGTCTACGCATAATAAAATCAATAACTGACTTCTGAACTTGTCTATCCATTGTTTTGCTTTGGGTTAGATTAAAGTTTTGGGTTCCACATTTAAATTTGTTATTTAATCGCAAATCGTTTCAAACACAATTGCCAAGAGATTGACATTTAAAAAATATTTGTATGCAAACCAATGCACTGATGTTACTTCTTACCTAAGCATCACAATGCGGTGCCCAGCCATGAATTTTTTATGGTCATTTTTAAGCAACACAGCTTTGGACTAGTGCGGCTGCACAAAGATAGCAGTAACCGTTATGGCACAGAACCTCGTCAGCAAACACTGCTGTAGAATCAACACAAGATAGACGCAGGACTCGAAGCACACTCAACGGCGCTGTCACTGGCAAATGTTTACCCTGTCGAATGAGTAGGAGTCGGTAGCAGAGATGGGAAATGGGCAGGCATGAATAATAAATGCTACAGTACCGTCCAGTTGGAGTATATGCTAAACCGTCAGTAATTGGAGACAACCGAGCACTTAGACATACACGACCACCTCACACCCACCACTTACGATTTTTACACACAACCGGAGAAAAACCCTCTCCCCTAATATGAGCTTTCGCCACGGTAATTAACTTTACAAATCGCATGCAAGTGTGTGATTAATTATTCCAAAACCGGACACTCAAACTCGCAAACCGGACAGTTAACCCATTTCGGCATCGATAAGGGTTGAACCCACAGCTGTGAAAAAGGAGTGGCGGGGGTGTGCTGCAGGGTTTTTGACATTTAAAATTTGTGAAATACATTTGATGAATGTTTGCTCATAAGGCGTAAATTGAAACTATTCTTGACCATGGACCCAAAACTTGTGGCCGTTTGACCACATGCCACTTAGCACATGGTTTGGCAAACGTGCCCCGACCACACCTACTCACATCCCAGTTCAATTTGGACGGTCGCACATAT